TTCTTGTCAAACTTAAAGTGCTCCAAGATGTGTGTGTGTGTGTATGTGTGTGTGTGTGTGTGTGTGTGTGTGTGTATATGTATGTGTGTGGGGGGGCGTGGGTGTATGTGTGTGGGGGTGCGTGGGTGTATGTGTACATGTATTCAATTATTGTGACTGGGCCCAGAAAACATTTGGATCAGCCTTAGAAGTTAGGTATAAATCATTCAGTTTCTTTTGTTCTCACTTGTCATCACACAGCTGTTAAGTGGTAAGTCAGCCTAAGGCAGCTTTGGAAAAGAACCCTAACTCTGTGTGTGTGTGTGTGTGTGTGTGTGTGTGTGTGTGTGTGTGTGTGTGTGTGCGCACACGTGCACGTGCATGTAGGTTAGTGAACCTGGGAGAGAGGGAGAGGGAAGGAGGGGAGTTACAGCTGCAAGCTCAGATTTCAAGTATCAGAACACCAGGGTGTTTCTTCGGTTGGGACTGATAAACTTTGCAGCCTATTAACGCACCCAGCGGGGGTCATTGCACTTTGCATATTTGGAGGTAACATATACCACCCCCACCTGGACACAAAGGCTGCCTTGGGAATGAGCTGGCTAACCACATTTGAGGGAATGCCTTTCAACTAAGAAGGAAATGAGCAGAATAAAGGGTTCTTTATTTGTGGGAACCCAACAAGCTGAATCTTGCTTCTGTTACTAAGGAATTGGTTTTAGCATCAAGGTATGACATAAAACCATAAAACTGAACAAAGAAATAGAATTGCTGATTAACAATTAAGTGCTGATAAATATGAGGGATGCCTGGGGACTATTTCAGACTTTTGTACAACATGGGAAGTATGTTATAACATGATACTCCTTCTTCTTCGGCAGGCAAATATCTTATTTCTTATCAAGTATTCTCATATAGGGTTTGTGAGCTCTTATTTTATAATAAGGAATAAGGAAATGTGATTCATGTTTTTAGTTTATCAGTGTTGTTGGTTTTTAAACTATCTTGCTCCTGGAAGATGCAATAAGTTGGAAAGAGATTTGTGCTATGGATGCAGACAAGTAGGGTGGGAAAGAGAAGAAATGTGGCAATGTACAACCCGATGGTCAGGTCAGGCCTGCCGAGGGGAGGACTTATGATCAAACATTTCAGAGAGGCAAGGAGTTAGATATGCAGCTATCTGGGAAGGCATTTAGGGAAGGGCAAAGTCAATGCAAAGACCAGGGAGTAAGCACACTCAGCACATGTGGTACAAGTGAGTGAGTAGTGGGATTTTAGGAGAGAACAGAAGGCAAGATCTTTTAGATCCTTAAAAGACTTTGACTTTTATTCTGGAAGAAGAGGGAGGCCTTGCACATCTTTGAGCTTAAGGATGACTTGATCAGACTTGTTTAGAAGCTAAAGTCTGATTGTACTCTGGACAGGCAATAAGAGAAGTAGAGATACCTATATGAAGGCTATCGTTGTAATCTAGGTGTCTTAGTTCAGTATTGCTGTGTAACAAGTTATCCCAAACCTAGCAGACTGAAGCAACAAACACCAAGTCACATTTCTGTGGGTCGAGAAGTTGGCCATGTCTTGGCTGTGTCCTGTGGTCACAGCCAAGGCTCCAGCCATTCAGGCTTAATTAGGGGAGGATTCACTTCCAAGCTCACTCACATGGAAGCCAGTTCCTTGGGGGTTGGCTGGAGTCTTGGGTTTCTTCCTAGAATCTGGTTAGAGACCATCATTCCTAGCCACAAGGACCTCTCCATGGGGTGGCTTACAACATGGCAGCTTATTTTAGGAGAACAAGCAAGCAAGCAGGGGTGGGGGGAGTGTCCCAGTCAGAGGGAGAACACAGTCTTTTAAAACCTCATCTCAGAAGTGATCTCCCAATAGTTTGCTATGTTTATTTGTTAGAAACCAGTCATTATATCCCACAAACACTCATGGGGAAGGGATTGCACAAGGATGTGAATACCAGGAGGAGGTGATCACTGTAAGCAATTTTAAAAGTTGCCTAACATACTTGGCAGTAGAAATGGCGAGGAGAGACAAAACACATTAAAAATATGGGAATCATAATCCATGATCTCTTACTCTGTAGATGATTTAAAAACACCTTATGTAATATCTGTGGCTTTGATTTTTCTACTTTAAATGTAAAATCTATTCATCTCCTTCTCTATAAACAGTTCAGACTTGAAGAGTTTAAATAACTAGCCCAAGTTTGCATAGTTGGTCAGTGATTTTGATAGGGAGCAAGTATTTAAGTGCCAGCAGTCTGATTCTACTACCTACTGCTCTTAATCTCCAGAGCATGCCAGAGAGCATGAAATGGCTGGAACTGTTCTTAAAGATGCAAAGTGCTCTACAGATACAAGTGTATCAATGATTAACTGTGTGAACACGAGAATAAAAACAGCTTGGTTTTAAAGAATGTTCATTCTAAAACATGATGCCCATGTTCATTTTGTGGTGCGGAAAAATGGAGCAGTTCTGGGGAAAAGATGGAACCCTTTTGTCTGTCTGTGTGTTTCCATTGTGGTAGAATCAGAAACCATTCCTGCTGTAGTGATCTGCTTCTACAAAGTATGGCAACACTTAGATGCTGCTTGGAATAAAACCACATGGATTTTGACCTAATGCTCAATAACTAAGTCTGGAGAAGAAAGCAGAGTTTAGGAACAGATGACTTGTGTGGAAATGGTTCTGTTTTTAACCAAGAAAGCATGTGACTCTCTCAAAAGCTGCAGGCCTCACAGGACCCTGTAATTGAATGAAGTCTGGATTGAAGTGAGTTCTACAAAGGTCTAGGGAGTTCATAGTTGAAGCTTATGGACTGAGCTAGACTAGCTTGTGGCACTATGAATAGAAGCACATGAGACTGCAAAATCACACTGAGAATAAAACAAGGCAAAAGCCTTGGTGGCATTTGGCTAATGCAGATGGTTATATTTATTCTGATATTAATATAGAAATTCTTGCTTCCTCATGAGGAGTTTTTTTTTTTTTTTCATGGTGGATCTTTTACCCTAACTTTATTTTATACTAGTTATAGCATTATATTTTAAAGAAGTTTCTTGGTACCACACAGTCAAGATTACTATTTTTTTTCTAGACTAATAATCTCTGTCATTTACTTGGAGTATTTAGATCATTTATGTTTAATGCAATTGGTAGTGTAGTTAGTTTGCCATTTGTTTTTTATGTGTAGCATTTATTTTCTGTTTCTATGAATTTGACTACTTTATATGCCTCCTGTAAGTGGTGTTATATAGTATTTATCTTTTTTTCATTTTGTGGCTGTCAATTTGAGACACTGCTTTCAATTCTTTTATATTCATACCAGAAGTGGGATTGCTGAATCATATCTACTTTTAATATTCTGAGGAAACACCGTACTGTTTCATAGCAGTTGCACCATTTTATAGCTCCACCAACAATGCATACACAGGATCCCAACTTCTCCACTTGTCTGTCAACACTTGTTATTTTCTCTCTTTGTTTTCCCAGTAGCTGTCCTAATGGCTTTGAGATGATAGCTCACTGTGGTTTTAATTTGCATTTCTCTCATGATCAGTGCTATGAACATCTTTTCTTATGCTTATTGGCTATTTATATGTTATCTTTAAAGAAAAGACTCTATTTGAATCCTTTTCCTATTTTTAAAATTAGGTTATTTGATATTTTTTTTTGTTTAGTTGTAAGAGTTCTGTGCATTTTCTAGATATTGACTCCTTATCAGATACATGATTTTCAAATATTCTGTGTTATGCTGCAGGTTGCTTTTTTAATGACTTTTTCGAGTCCTTTGCTGACTAAAAGCTTTTAAGTTTGATGTAGCCCATTTGTCTATTTTTGCTTTTATTTCCTGTGAACACTTGTTTATTCTTTCACTTAGCACTTTTAGATCCTGTTTTTTTTTCTCCTGGCTTATGGAGTTTCTAAACAGATGTCTGGTATTCTTATCCTTGTTTTTCTGTACTTAATGTGACTTTTTGCCCCATAGTCTTTTTTGAAAATAGATTCTTTCTTCACTTCTGTCTTTAAACAATTTGTATCATGTTGTCCTTCAGCCAAACCACCTTTAGTAGTTTTTTTTCTTTGTATTTTTTCTTTTGGGATTTGCTGAGCATCTTAAACAGCTATATACTGTATTTTGTTCTTATTTTTAGTTATTTGCAGAGGAAGGATAATTCCAGAGCTTGTCATTCCCTAATGGAAGTGAGTTTTCCATAATTGTATCGAAAACTTGTCTCCCATAGACTTTATGCACCTCTAGGACAGACCTGGTAATGGAAGTCAACATAGGAGTTCTGAAAAAGTTAAATTAATGAATGAAACCTGGAATTGGGTTGAACTACATAAAATGGACATTTTTGATGATTTTTAATCTATATAATTTATATGGTGCAACTTTATATTTCTAATTTGGATTCGTTAAGAAAAGCAGAATCTGTAGAGGTAGTTACACTTTTAGGGTTAGATCTAACCAAGGGTGGATTTGTGTGTGTGTGTGTGTGTATATGTGTGTGTGTGTATTAAATATGTCTGGAACTATCATCTGAAAGTCCAAAAACACCTATGTTGACTTCATTTTTCAAGTAGAACATTCTAGGTCTATCTTTGTGACTTTAGGTTTTTAGGTATTTTCTTTGGAGAGGGAGTCTGCAGTTCTCTTTCTCTTCTGGGGTGTATAGTTCATCAAGGGAGCATATGCTCATTCCTCTTTGCCTCCATGGACTTGTGTCCAAAGACAAGAGGTTTTTATAGGAGAAGACTTTAACCTTGTCCTCGTCAGGTGATCCAGCACAGTGACCTGGTTTCTATGACCTGGTCTGGGATCTTTAATAGGATTGGGGTTGAACTCTTTGTAAGGAAAACAATGTTCTGCTGATTGTTGATATGTGGTTGTGAGAGCCAGAAGTGACACAGGATTTGGGCACCTATGATAGAACTGTACTGTTGTTTCAAGGCTTTATGCACAACAGGAGAGTAAAGCTTAGTAAGTACCTTAATAGGACGATGAAGAAAATGTTAAAGTTACGGTATTGACAATAATTATCTGTTATGGTTTTAGTTTTGTACTTTCATAATATTTAGAACATATTACATAAATTTAGAAAAAAAGTGTTTTATAGGTGACCAGATTGAAATGAATTTCATTTAACATAGCATACTTGCTTGGGAAAATTATTCTGTTGACTTCCTGCAAAAGATATAAACGAGGTGACCCACGACCCAGTGGGTTTGGCATCCTTGCTTTTTGGAATTCAAATCGCCCTTGCATGTTGGCAGCAGTGTTTACTATATAAAGTTGGGTAGATGGTTGATATGGGTTGGATTTGGCTCCCTTAAATTTATACATTGAAGCACAAAACTCTAGGACTTCAGAATGTGATCCTTATTTAGAGAGACGATGGTTACAAAATTAATAAAATTTAAGCAAGGTCATTAGGGTGGGCCCCAATCCACTGGGACAGGTTTCCTACAAGATGAGGGGACTTGAACAAAGAAATACACATAGAGGGAAGACAATTTGAAGAGACAGGAGAAGAAGGCTATCTGTAAGCCAAGGAGAAAGGCCTACAACAGGCCTGAACTTACAGCTTCCAGAAGAAACTAACTCTGACAACACCTTGTCTCTGACTTCTGCTTTCCAGAACTGTGAGACAATTGTTGTTTGTGGCACTTTGTTATAGCAGAACTAGAGAACTAATAAAAGCGCTTTTGCAAAAGCACATGCTATAGACTGACTGGTGGTAGGAAGAAGAAGCATGTTAAAGAGCAGGGGCCCCCAAGCAAACTTCTGGAAACTGTTAGATTATTTTATAAGGTGGGTAATCAGTTCTTCTCTTTATCTGTTTTGTGGATGAATACAAATCCACCCAGACTGAAAAGAATAAGGAAAGTGGTCAGCGCCAGTCACAGGTTCACCAAGGGCTCCTTAATTTATGCTCATCTGATGGGGAGGAATTTTGAAGAAGTACAATGAAGCCTGAATTTTTTGTGTCAGTTGTGAAGAGATTTTATAACTTCAAAAAAGATTATTTAGGGTGCCTGATTGAGAAGAACATACGAACACTAAATTTTACTCCTGGCCCTTGAGAAACTTTATGTCATATTGCAACAGGATTATTTTATACTCTGAAGGATTATGAGCGGTACAGAGCATGATTAAATCTTATTATTTTAGTGAAGTGCTTAGGGCTTCTAATTTCTCTCTCTACTTCTCTGATGCTTTTTCTTTCTATCTCCTACAAATTGTGTGGGTGACAGTGCAAATTTTTTTTCATCCCTGACTCATTCTTTTACTTACTTGCTCTTCTGATTATAATGAAAGGTTTTATTGCAGTTAAAATGGCAACCATCCTGATGGACAAAACAGATTGATGTCCAAATGTTACCTCCCAAATAGTGAGAATGTATTAATGGTGGAAATAAAAAAGCCTCAAGACACTGAGTAAGTGAGTCGTGGCTGCGAGGGGCCTGGGCCTGTTGTCAGTCTGTTCCCATTGATGTCATTCCCAATTCTCTGACCATTGTATAATTTAAAATTCACTTGGTCAGTGTTTCTCAGCTTGATTACAACAGTTCCCAGGCTGTGAGGAGTTAAGCCAAAGAAGTTTTTATTAATTTTCCTTCTCCCTAAAGACTTTAGGCTTGCTGTTTCAAAGAAAGCTAGAGACCACAATGAGCCAACTATTTGGTGAGAAGTTTCTCCTCTGGGAGAGAGCTTTTAGCTGAGATTCCAGCCTTTCAAATGTCAAATGTTACTCATTCTTGCTTTGGCTCTGGTGAGTATGTGTAGTCCTTCTCTTTTATTTTAATTTGAGAATGTTTGCTTCCACTGGTAGCTCAGGGAACTTTTACTCACTGTTTGAAATCTAACCCTGGAACACAAAAGTATGACTAATCCTACTTACTGGAATTTCAGTGTTTTCATCAAGGCTGCAGTTTCCATTTCCAATTTTATATAATAAGGGGCAGAATCCCAACTGGCAAACATACTCCTTTTCTTTTTTTGGTTGATGTGCATCAAAATATCTGTGTTATCAAAGGGGAAGTTTCACGATGGCAAATTTTTTTTTTTTTTTCAATTGAAAGGAAACTTGTCTTCAAGATTATTTGGAGAGAAGATAGTTCATGAAATCAGAGCCTGGCCAAGACAGTCACTCAGTGGAGCACTTCTGAATCTTTCAGCCGCTTTCCATCTACTGTAGAGAAAGGATATTAGGTTATCTCCAGGAGGAATGGTATATACAGTGGAGTCACAGCCAATGGAAAGATTTGAGAGCAACTTACAAATATTCATGCCAAGGCAGTGAGGTGGTTAGGCAATCACTGTGGTGCCATGGAAGGATGAAAGAGATCAGCTAACCCAAACCAAGTTTCTGTGTTCTTCTATGGCAATCTTTTATTACTTTCTTATGTCGTTAGAGTTCCAAATATGGATTTCTGGAATGTTGTTGAGAAACTCTGATGAGGAAGTTCTAGTGGAATTGGGTTCAGACTCACTCACCAGACAATTCTTTTAAGGCAAGATCTGACAGGCTTGAAGGGGAATATAGATATTCGTTTGGAATATCTTAAAAGAGAACTCCAAACCCTGCTGCTCAAAAACATTCATTTGGAGAATTAAAAACATAGACAATTAAATTCCATTTCAGAGTTTCTGGTTCAGTGGATCAATGTATTTACTTTTTTTTTTTTTTTCCTTCAGATTATTCTGGGCATAGTCATGACTGGGGATTTCCGGTTCCAATGCCTGTTTATAACTTCAACAACAAAGAAATTCTTCTGAATTATTGGATCAAATGCGTAGGATTTGTTGAGTTTGGCATGTAAAGGCAAAACGTTTTGCTTTCTGTTTATGATCTATAAAACAACTCTGAATCTGTTATTTGGCTTCTTTACCTTCTCACTGGTTGGCATGCTTTTGGGTCAATTGATAAGCATTCAGCTGGAATCTTTCTTGGAAATACAATGTCCTAAACCTGGACGATACATTCATTTTCTCTATACCTACTGATTCACAGTCTTAGGGAGCCCAGACTTCCATTCTTATATAAGATTCATAGGTGAGTTTGAAGAGCTACTAAGTTTTGAGAATAACTGAGTTAGACTAATGAGGTAGAGTATTTATTGGCGTTGGATACAATTGAAGTGTAATTGCCTATACATAAATCATGCTAATTTAATTATAATTGTTACCACTATTCATTTCACTAGTTTATGATTAGGCTTTGTATTTGATCAATGAATATTTAGTAACGTTCATGAATCCAGTTAAGAGAGGAGGCAAGAGAGGTAACAACTTATCTTGGTAGGATGTGTAGAAGTTTGGGAGGCAGGACTGTGGTGGTAAGAACAGTGAGGGAAGCGAACTTGATCTTGGGTCTTGGGTAGTGCCTGGGGAATTAGTGGGGGGCATATTGGGTGTATAGAAGTAGTCTAAATGAAAACTCTTACCTCTGCAGATTATTCAGAAATTTTCTGTTTATAGTCAGGCACTGGAAATATGGTACTGAATAGTTAGACACAATCTTGGGTCTTGTGGAGATGCACCTCAAAATGAAATCTCAATTTATGAAAAAAGGGATTATAGAATACAAAGTAACCATATGTTCATCAACTCTATGCCAGTTTGTGGGAATAGTGTGAGACTTGCTAGAATCAAAGGCTTCAGACTTTATTAGATTCCATATTGAGCTTCTTCATGTCCTTAAACACAAATATGGAACTGAAAGATAGACAAATCTGAGCAGCTGAGACATGGAGTTTAGCTCCCAAGGCCAAAGGACTATGTGATAGTGTTATTATTTATTTGCTTATTTATTTTTAACAGTCTAGGGACTTTTTCTCAGAAGACCTATCCATTTTTTTTTCTTGTGATTTTCTTCCATACTCTTTAGAAAATCCCAAAGATTGTAATTTTCTTAAGATCAGGAATTTCTTAGTTTAAATCTTTTTCCAATCACATGCTGCAAAATGACTTCAACTATTACTATGAATGATACTAGGACAGAGATAATTTGTCTCTCATACTTTCAAAAGCAATTATAGCATACCTTCAAATATAATTCACACATTAATAACTTTTTCCTTAATGAACAATAAAAGCTTCTGTTTCATTATAAAAATCTTTTGACTAAGTGGCAGCTGGAGATTGGACTTTGTGCTAATACTTAAGTTAATTGCATCTCCTGTTAATATTGTCTTAGTGGGGGCCATTAAGTAGGATTATGACTGGTCACAGTGTGTTTTCCTAATTCTTCTGTGAATTCCTGCAATTCCTTCTTCCTCAGGTGTCTGATCTTCCACAGAGGAGGGGGTACTAGGGGAGTTTTGGGCAGTATTCATCTTGATTTAGACATCATCATCATCTCTCCTTGAAGGCAGAGCCACTGGAAATGTCAGTAGCTTTCTGAAAGATTCATTTCCACGCCCGTCTTTCTGCCACACCATTCCACCCCAGGCTGCAGAAGCCCTGCATATTATTTGCCAATCCCAAAGATAGAACTTGAAGGACTCAATGGAGAGGGTTTGGACACTATTACTCATGTGCTTCTTGGGACAGATGGAGGGCCACACTGCCTATGAGCAGGGAGAGTGCATGAGATAGTTTGCATGACAACTGTGCAGATGGCTTTCTTTAGAAGTTTCATGAATACCTTCCTTTACTGTGTAGCCAAGGCTTTCTGCTTTGATCCCCACCTAAAGATTGGAGTTGAGGGAAGCAGCCAGTTTCCCTTCTCCTTATGTTCCTTATCACTTTCTTTGAAGTCCTTGTTATCTCACCCAGGAACAACAGGCCTCCATAGGCACTGCGGGGTATTTACCCCAACACCCACAGTTTGGCCCACATGGTCAACTGGAATTCGAACATAAGATTAGAAGGAAAACGCTGTTTACCAGTCCTCAAGCACGTCTGACCTAAAATGTACAGCAGTGTTCCCTTGAATCTGAAGAATAATCTCATCAACTTAAAAAAAAAAACTTTTATATTTTCAAAACGAAATGACAAATTTTCAGCAGTGAGAAACTCTGAAGGATAAAGTGTCTCTGAAAATCATGTCATGTATTTCATTCTCAATGGAATGTTTAAAAGCTGAATAGCACCGCATTAGGATGTTAATTCATGTTTTGGGTTTAGTTTCATAGCTCAACATCTGGTATTTATTATGGGTTCACCTGAGGTTTAGTTTATGTTTTTAATGATACAGTTCCTTGATGGAAGATCATTTGAGAGATTGATTCTTCACACCAGGTTCTCTTCTCCCTGGGCAGTTCTCTTATCGTCAGATATTTGGCCTTTTTCCTTCCAGTGCCAGAAACTCCCAGCAGATGTCATTGTAAGGCAGATTTGTTTAGCAAAGTTTTTTTTTTTTTTTTTTTTTTTTTTTTTTTTTTTAGAATTGCAAATAGAGTTGCTCATAATCGTGATGTGCATATGGGGTGCTGGATTTAATTCATTCTCATCTCCCTAGGGTGGGGATTGTTATAAAGAGACTCCTGGGACTCCTTCTTGACATGCCAAAATGTGGGAGAATAGCTGCCCTCAATATAAAGAAGAGAACAGAGAACTGAGGTCTTGCTCCCGAGCATTTCCTGGGCTACTTCTAGCCCTGCTTGGATCAGCACAAGGCATGGGACTGTGCTCTGAATGGGACAAGAAGAGGCTTGGGAGGAGATAGCTGCATAGACACATGGGGACCACATGAGGGAGATGGGATTTCCAATGAGACAGCTCTGCTGATTCTAGACCCCCTGGCTCTTAGTACTGCAGGGAAAATATAAATGAGCATCCAAATGTGTGTCCTTACCTCACCCAAAGGAGCACGTATAGCTGGTTCTTGTCTGACAAAGAAGGAAAGCTACGTTGGAACTCCCTAGCTTATTTTATGGATATCAAATTCAGGTAAAAAAGATAGCCTTTCAGCCTGGGTCCCTCCATAATCCCTTGCCCCAGCAAAGGCCTGGACATCTCAATTCATTTGCTACAAATATAAATGAAAGTCAAAGTAAATTCTCATGAGTTTCCATGTAGACCTATGTTGATACATTTTTGTCTCCTGGGAAGATCTCATTCTGTTACTTTATAGTATTGTAGGAGCTCATCATTTTTCCATTGCTTAATTTGATTTTTTAAAATGATTGTCCTCTGGGGAAGTCTCATCCCCAAAACCAGAACTATACTTTGTATGATAGAGGGTTAATCAAAGCATTAAATTGCTTGGGAATTTTTAATACAATGTATCTTGGGAATTTTTGACACAATATGTCTCTATGCTATAAAACTGCAGGCTCTTGGCCAAAGAGCACAGTGCATCCAAGTGGTGGGGTCAGCACGAGGAGCCTGGCAGGAAGACATTTGCTTACTTGCAATAGGACAGCTAGCACAGATCATTTAAAATCTAGACCTGTACACCTCTCCTAGGCATTTTAAATGAATGCTGTTTCCCCCTAAGCATTAGTTCTTGTAAAGGAATGGTGCAATCAGTTTGAGAAGATAATGTAAAGAAATATTTATCAGAATAAGCAGATTCTACAGTCAATAGGTCAAATGGAAAAAGTAGATTGCAACTGTCATTCTCTATCAGAAAAAAAATTAATTAGAGTGGGCATATGTAATTCCTATTTCAATGAAAGCAACAATTTTTCTGAAAGGATATGAAGAATCACTTCCATGTAACTTAGAGACATTTCCATCACTGAATTTAAGCATCTGGGGAGAATTCCCCACGCAACTCTAGGCGCATGTGAGACTGGGATTGATCTTTGAGCTTTGCAGCCATGAGCCAAGATTCTGACAATTCCCTTTTTGTCAGCGGGATATTGTTTTGGGGATGAAATCTTATATAACCTTGGCACAGAGTATCCCCCATTTTCTGCTTCTGCGTGAGTGACTTGCGCTGAACTGTTGGTGTTCCTGGACTTTGTTCCAATTTCAGAATACAATGACTTTAGACAGCTCGGGGTGGGAAGAAAGAACACAAGCTTTCAAAATGTTATTTTGAAAAAAAAAATTTTAAAACTTTATTTTAATAGTCAGGGGGCTTAAGGTACTGGAAAGGGTGCTGGACTTGGTGTTGGGATTTGGGGTTCTTGCCCCACTTCTGTCCCTTGTGATCTTGGCTGTGATGTGGGAATCCATCTGTGGGTGAACTGAGCCATGTTTGAGCCATTAGAAGAGGAAGCCTGGTCTTGGGAACTCCTAGTGGGAACCCTCTGAGTGAGAGAACTCCTACTTCACGTTGACACCCTGACTTAGCTCACAGCTCAAGTTCAAGCACAGCCTCCCAGAGATGGGTATAGCCTGCCAAATGCCAATCAACCTGTCTACTTCAAGACCCGAGCTACACTGAGAAATAAAAACTGAAACAAGACTCCTCCCTCTGAAATCTTATCCCTGCCTTTGATGTACTCCCCTTTAAATAAAGAATTGGGGCCTTTTTCAGTGTTCAGTTATAGTTCCCCTCAGGACTGGAAGATCCATCAGACGTTCCACTTTTTAAATCTAATCTTTGGCTTTGTCTTATTTCTTACTGATTATTTCAGACTTTCTATTTTCCCAGGCAGCTTACACCTCCTGAGGAGGAACCTGCTCTGTCTGTAAGAGTGCTGGCCACCCCCACCACTGCGACATTTTAATCTAAGTCTTCTTTCTTCAAGAACAGATTTTTAAAACTCTATTGAGAAAACTTTAACCCTAGTTGCATTTTCTTTCTCAGGAATTCTCACCTCACCAGGATTTTGTTTTGTTTTGTTTTTGGTACCAGGGATTGAACCCAGAGGCATTTAACCACTACATTTCCAGCACTATTTTTATTTTTTGTTTTGATACAGGGTCTTGCTAAGTTGCTTAGGGCTTCACTAAGTTGCTGAGGCTGGCCTTGAACT